TTCTAAATAGCAAATATACCAGCGTTCTTTCTCCAACTAGTCTTAGGAATAAATTTTTTATTTAATAGATAAAGTTGGAGATGGTTCTATAAACCTTTTTTAAAAAAAAAAAGGACCCCTTATTTTCTTCATCAGCCCTTAATCTACGAAGTGGTTTATTTTTTAAGGCCTGAATAAAAGGGTATGGGGCCTATAGAATTTTTAAAAAGAAGTATGAAAAGATGTGGGTGTCATGGAACCTCCCAATCACCCCACCCTCTCTCTCCTCCCGAATCCCAATACCCCCCCCCCCCCCCCCCCCCCCAAGTTTGGCTTTAAATTAAATCAAGATATGAGCCATAGAAAAAAATCCAGAGTTTTTCTGCCATTAGGTGTGCGAAGGCTAAAGCTCTTCATAAAGCAAATTCAGCCAAACAAATTATGAATACATGTAGATCTACTAGTTTTTAACAAATCGAGTTAAACTTTCCCTTGTGACATTTGAACAGGAAACTGTAGGCCTATTTTTCAAGTATACCAAATAAGTAGTGCTTTATTCTGTATGTATTAAACTTTGGTGATTTATATTGATTTTAAGAACTAAAGTAGACCATTCACAGCACTTAAACTAAAGCTCCTTCTATTGCTGTTTTAAGTAAGTCTAATTTTAGACATTCGTAAAACAACTGTGACAACTCTGGACTCCCTAAAGATTAAAAAGTGAACTTAGTGTTGTTTTGTAGCCTGGTCAATTGTTTTTCTACACAGAGTAGTGATAACAGAAACAAAAACCTTTACTAATTGTGTTTTTTGGACAACATTCAATGAAACAAAACATTAAAAAGTACACTGTTTGATAAAGAAATTACCTGCCCATTGGGAAAAAGATCTAGCTGCTAGTTAACCTTAACTCTAATGGCCCAGCACTTTGCTGATAGCTCTTTATATTTAAAAAAACAATCCCGGGGAGACTATTTGTGTCTATAAGACATATTATGAGCTAAAAATAGATGATGTAATAAAAGAAAACAGTCATCACTGATCTGCCAGACAGAAGCAGTGATGGGTAGTTTAAATTCATTCGAGCAATAGAAAATGTGCTAAACACATATTATACGCTGTGCATATAGCAAGCTCAGCACGAAGCGCACTCAGGACTATGGTTTCCTTTGTCACTAATAAGCTTAGATCTATCCTATACTACTATACATCAAGCATTTTAGACACTAGCCTATCTTTGGCTGCTCTCATCCATCATCATCCCATAAAAATAATTATAATTGATGGTACTGTTATATTACTATGTTTAATATATGTTAAGTCATTGAGTCATTGTCTTGTGAGTGAAATTTGTGCCTCAGATTAGTAGATTTTGTGATGTTTAAGTAAGTAATTTAAACACAAAGACGAGGCAAAATTGCAGTGGTTAGATTTGATATCAATTAACTGAAAGGTAGGCTTTGATCAGACCAGGCTCTTAATCTTTTCGAATATTTTCTTCAAAACATAGATCTGGATCTAATCTGTCAAAATTCTTATCAATCTTATTCTTACCAGTGAAATGAAAGGGGTTCCTTTCGAGTCTCTGACTGTTAGTACACTGATAAGTTAAACACAGCAGTGTTGCACCGTCCTTCCTGGTCTCGTTTTATTGTAAAGAAAGTATCTAAGTCTGTAGATCTTCTACTACTATTACTACTACTACTACTACTACTACTACTACTACTGCTGCTGCTGCTGCTGCTGCTGCTGCTGCTGCTGCTGCTGCTGCTGCTGCTGCTGCTGCTGCTGCTGCTGCTACTACTACTACTACTACTACTACTATAGCGCCCACAAACCCAGCTACTATAGCGCCCACAAACCCAGCTCTAGGTGCTTTAGAATCCACATAAATGCATGTATGAACAATATTCACACACGCACACACACACGCACACAGTTACGCATACACACACACACACACATACACACACACACGTACATACAGACAAACACTCCCACGCACACGCACGTGCGCGCGCTCACACACACACACACACACACACACACACACACACACACACACACACACACACATCTCACGCACACGATTACACATCGTACAAACATGATCTAGATATCTAGATATCTAGATCTCGACGTCTATGGGGATATGGCTTTTCTTTGGGTTAAATAAACGAGTTTTAGTATTATTTTCATTAAGCTGGAGCTTATTATCAATCATCCAGTTCTTAATATCATCAATGCACATACCCATAGTTGCAGGCAAGGTTTTAACATCTGGTGGTGGAACAGATTTATACAACTGTGTATCATCTGCGTACAAGAGATAATCCATACTCAACTGTGATTTTTAATCAGAGCTCAAAATAACCCAAAAAGACGTTAATCCAGAAAGGGACTAGATCTACAGTTTCACATGCTTGCACTTTTAAGAGAATCACTTTGGGTTAAAACATAAGGTTAGAATCAAATAAAACACGTAAGAGCAGAGACACGCCCACTCACATGTAAACAAACGTTTTCGCCCACTGAAATATGGCCGCCAACAAACTCAAATGTTTCCGTGTCACGTGACCTCGTACGGACTCTAGTTTAAAAGGAGGTAACTCTATGGTTTCAGGTAACAAAAGATCTATCAGTCTGATAAACAGCTCGATATATTATATTTCAGTTATAATATAAAGAGATTTAGGTTTTGAAAGGACTTGTAAACCTTAACAACCAATCACAGTGGGATGAAGCATGCCATTTTCACTAATCCAGTCGTGAGTCTCAAGATCTCCCATTGCTACAAAATGTATAGCTTTCCCTGGCCGAGCTCCGCGTTCAAGTCATAATTTAACGCACCATCGTACTGAGACCACACCAACGCCTCTACACTAAACCGAAGCTAATAAAGCTGGCGTTAGTCCGCTCCGATGAAAATCCAGTCTGTCAAGCAAATTTGGGCATCGTTGACGCGCTTTTCCCTTTCGTCAACCCGCAGCCACCTCCCAATCGTCAGCCACCCCCAACCTTTGACACGGGTCAAACTTCCATCTATTTATAG